AAAAAGGTTCAGGTCCCTAAAAACATTCGGCTTGGGGGGGGAAAAAATTTAAAAAAAAAAAAAAAAAAAAAAAAAAACATTAAAATAAAATAAAGAAACACATCTACCAAAAGGCGATCATAATATTGAAAGAAAAGAGCAATTATGTGAGTGGAAGATGTCTTTCAATCAAGGTTTAATCATGTAACGCAGTTGAAACCCGTCAAAAGGCCTCCAATACCTGGGACTTGAAGGCCTGCAACTCGGCTTGAAGCTCGGCTATCTTTTCTTCACCCTTTACCAGCTGAGCTTGGGCCTCTTGTCGCTTTACAAACTCTTCATCAAGCTAGAAATAGAAATACCCAAATTATGCCTGAAACTGTTTTTGAGATTTTTTTTTTTTTGCATATACTTCAAGCTTGAGGAGCACAGAATCATTCATTTCAGAGTGAGAATGTCAGTTGGTGAGCTTAATCTCCCGTCTCGAGTGTGTCGCAGAGTACAATAATGTCACACATGGTTGAACAATGCTGAGGGTCAACACTTGCCTTTTCTGCCAGTTCTGAAGCTCTTTGCTCATACTCCTCAAATCGAGACTTATCGACACAAACCTCTGAAAAAGAAAAAGAAAGAAAAGAAAAAACAGAATTCAGTTCAAGTTGACAAAATAGCTCCACTAAGGAAGTGACTTGCCGATGAGATGGCTGAAATCCACGTCGAGACGTTTCCGATAACTGAAGTCTGGATCCGTTCCACTACGGTGCAGCACAATTTGAGACACGCACTCCTCAATGATCTTGAAGTACTGAGACCTGAGAGTGACACCAAGTGACATCAGTGAAGAGGAGAAGTGACAAAAAACTATTTTGCTCCTACGCATCCCTATTGAGATAGTTTGGGATGAGAAATGCATTCAGCCTGATGGAAGGTGGCACACCATGCGCAGAACAACGTGAACACAAATTTGATGTTTGCAGTAATATTTGCAAGAAACCTAAAACATCATCTTTTGAGCTTTCTCATGCAAATGCTCTAATGTACACTGCAGGTGAGACGAAATAAAGACACTCGGGTCAGAAATGTTTTCAAACCACATCAAAGATGTGTGTCATTTTTTTTAAAAAATGTAATGGCGATAGACGTTAAAATGTTAATTGCAAGTAATTTCGTCGTGCCACAAGATGGTGACAAAAGCGGCACCTCAACTCATCAAAGCTCATCTACGAGTCGGTGCTTTGGCCTGAGCACAAAACAGCAAAGTGTGTACGTCGTCATGATACCAAATTCGACCTTAGTATTTGTACTCACTGAGACAAAAAAAAAAAACCTGCACTGACAAATTTGACTCCAGTCGGTTTTACTTATAATTTCGAAAGACTGCTGTTAAATGAAGGCCAAGCATAAACATCTTCAGTGAATCATAATAGCGCTGATTGATATTCAGCAGGTTATAGAGGTTCAAACAGTGTTGGGTTAGTGTCAGACACGTTTTTTAAAAAAAAAAAAATTACATTGTTATGGCTGTAAAAAAAATAAACAAACAACACGGCAGCTAATAAATAAGCCACAATTGTTGTTTATTATTGCTCCATCTTTTGATCAAGTCAACTTTGATCAAGGCTCACACAGCTGTGGGTGAGCCAACCCAACGAAAGACTTTGAAAAGTACCATAAAAGAAGATGGGAAATACTCTTGAGCCATGGAAGCTCGATTGCTATGAGATGAAAGAGGCAACATTCTCTCTGTTAGTTGATGCCGTTCAAAGCCTTTAAGGCAGACATGGGCATCAGAAGACCAAAACGGGCCCATTCGCAGACTATGAGCGGCCCACGAACGATTGTCAGCAAGTCAAATACAGTGACAGTGGATCAGACTGTTTTTTTTCTCTTTGTTTTTCCCCACATATGGAGGGTGCCACATTAATTGCGTGGCTTCAACGGACGACCCTTCCTCCCCCCCCCAATAAGTCCGTTAAACGCGGTTCCACTGTCCAGGATATTTCTTTTGTGCAAGATTAAAAAAGGTCACAGTAAGTCCATCCATGCATTCTCCGTACCACTTTTCTCACAGGGGGATTGTGTCATAAAAACTTGACCAAAGACACCATTTAAAAAAAATAACGAAGCAGATGAGAAAACTATCCACAAATCAAATAAAAGTATGTTATAATCCGAAGACTTTGAAGTGCAGTAAATGCTTCCAAGGTCACATGCATCACAAGATTGATGGGATTCAGACGGAATTTGTTCATGTACTCGATTTTTAGTTGGACTCTTTTTGTGCTTTCTACTGTCTTTCTTATTAATTTATTGTTTTATTGTTGGTTGTTGTATGAATTATTTTTGCTCCATGTACAGCACTGTAGATGCATCAGTGGGTTTGTTTTAAAGTGCTGTAAAAATACAGTTGAGTATGAACCAAAAAAGGAAGGTGCTTGTTACCACGGGTCGTCTTATGCCCCTTTTCCACAAAAAACGCACCAGGGCCCATATTGTGCCTAGTTGGTGCTGAACAAGTTCTGATGAAGAACGTGTTTGGTTTTCCACTGGCAAAGAGCCAAATAAGAGCAATGTTATGATGTCATGTAAAGCGTCCATACATCACCGCTTACGTCGACAGTTTTTGCCAGAGTCTGGCTCAACAAATAATTGGGGCCATTTTTAGCACCAGTTTCAAGTACTGGAGCTTGAGCCAATTTTGGTGTTGGAAAAAGAAAGAACTGGTGCAAACCTGGGGACTGGCTCAGAAGTAGCACTAGCACAAGAGCGGCGGAAAAGGGCCATTACACGCTGAGTTGAAGAGTACCGTAGTCAAGGAGTCATCTAAAATGCATCAACCGGTGCCGAGTGCCAGGCAGGGGTCAAAAAAAAAAAAAAAAAAAAAAAAAGTCAAATTATGGGTAATGTCAAATTATGGGCAACGTCAAATTATGGGTAACGGTATGTGACACCCCCCCCCAAAAAGGATCATCATCATCATCATCATCATCTTTGCATTAATTGCACAACGCTACATAATTTCCTGTCGTTTTGTATTTCCTCCACCCTTTGTCGACAGACCTGACAAAGTAGTCATTGCGAATGAGGACCAAATGCTGCAGTATGGAGATGAAATAGTTTTCTGCACTGCTGTCCTTCACCATACTCAGCAAAATATTGAACACGTCCCCTGCATCAGTAAAGAGAGTCAAGGCAAGGACTCGCAGATAAATGGAGGTAATTTTTTGTCAGCATTAAAAAAAAAAACAACAACAAAAAACACATTGGTACCTTTCAATGAATGCATTCAAAGAGTGTCACACTTTGTAACATCTTGACCTTCAGTGTGTGACGTGTATTTTTCATTTACTAAGAGCGGACGGTCACTACATTAGGTAAACGGTATCAAGGATATTCCAGCTCGCTTTTGATGTCCTCCAGCCTATGAGAGAATTCCATCATGTCCTCTTCTCTGTGCTCCTCAAATACCTTGAGCTGAATGTCAAGTGCATCATTCCTCAAAGATGACAGTTGCTATATGTATTAAAAAAAAACACACACACACACACACACACACACACACACACACACACACACACACACACACACACACACACACACACACACACACACACACACACACACACACACACACAGTCAAGACAGTGCAAGGAGATAAAGTGTTAAGATTAGGAAGCAACTTGAGCATTGCAAGTGTCACTGGGGTTGCACTTACTGGTAAAATGGTTTTCAGGCCACACCGAATAAATTCATTCCTGATGTGCAGCCGCAAGTCCAGATCATCAGGTGATGTTACGAGCGCATTGATTAGCTGCATGCACGCCACCTGAAATATGAAATGTAAGTGTGTAAATGTGTGTCTGTGTAAGGGATCCTGGGTCGAGGGTTGCAGGTTTGAATTGCAGGTTTGAGTTCGTGCCATGAGAGTAAGAAAAAAAAAATAAATCCTTCTTCCAGCAGCTGATGAGCGTGCTGACATGCATCCTAAATGAGCTCGATCCCCAGGAAGAAAAAGTAACATAACTAATGCATGTCTATTTTCTGCCGCCTCCAACTGGGGAGGGCTGATTTTAATATTGATGCAACAACTGTAGACATAAATCCAACCGTCAACCGAAGGGAAAATTGGATCATTTGGAAGCTGGTTTTCACTGCCCCCCCAAGTTTATTTGTGGGACTGCTGATCTCGAGACTAAATTCAGACTGTTCATCTTTGCGCTTACTTGCAGCTGCACCGAGCGATCCCGTAGCCCTTGCACGATAGGATTAAATCTCTCGATGGCTCTCCATTCCCCGGCGGTGGTTATGGCTTCCAGGACCTTCTCCAAACTAAATGAAAAAATGAAACGTGTGAGTGAAGATCGGGTTGATGATGATGATGATGTTTGTCAAAAGGATTCTTAGTTACTCTGTAACTTGATCACAAGCGGACAGACAGTACCGGGTGGGCACTGAATCACTCGTCAATAACATATAACATGTTATACTACAATACATCATTCATTTTAACTCATTCAATGCCAGCCATTTTCAGACCCTTCTTAACCCTGACACGGAAAAAAAAATAATAAAAAATGTACATATAAAGAAGTATATGGGATTGAAAATCTGGAATCTTTCAAAAAATGTCCTTGGCATTGAATTTTAAATCAATATTAAAATTGTTGGTTTAAATGACAACACTAGAATAAAACTGTCACTGTTGTTTGAACTAAAAGACAAAAAGACACGAGAACACACGTGTTGTCTTCGCCGACGATGCAGATGGCCGAAAGCAGCTTGACCGCATCGGTCATCATCGCGGATTGGGTGGGGTCAATTGCTCTTGCCAGTAACGCAAGACTTCTCTCCTCCCCGAGTATTCGATCCAAGCCATACTGCAATACACAGGCACATGTGGAAACAGCTTTTCATTCACACAGTAAATTATTTTCAAGACAGCATTTTCACTTCATTTACGGTTGTACATACGAGGTGGACGTCGCACAATGAAATAAGCGGGAGCGTAGAAGGGCTTCATTCCCTAACCTTTGCTTCCACCCTTTTGTTTCTAACCCATTCAAATCTTTTGGATTCGTCTGTATTTTTAAATCCCGCTATGGATGATGGTTGAAATAAAAGTCCAACTTGACCTTGAACTAGCTCATGCTAGATGTAACAATACAATGTCACACGGCCAGAAGGCGCACTCCGTTATTGCAATGCTTTGATGTAACCGCTTCATATTTATGCCCGAGAAGTGTTTTTTGCACAAAAATTTATGGTCATGAGGACTTTACAACTGCCTCAGCTCGAGGTGTGCAATCTGGACAAAAATGTATGTCTCGATACAGACAACGTTCATACATCCCAATATTGTATTTTTCCTTCAAATTACATTCAAATAAATCAAACAATTTTCTGGGCTATCTTCTCCATTTAGCCTACATGATTTACATAGACCAAAATGAAATGAAAAAAAAATGCTTTGTAAAAAACGTAAACATCTGATCGTATAACCACTTTTCAAGGAATGCAGTAAAGTGTGAAGAATTCAAATAAATACCATACAACCTGGTGCTTCAAGTAACATTCAAGCACGCCAAATATTTTGTCCTGTAAAAGTGATCGCAAATGAAACGTCGCAGAGGCGGAATTTTAGTAGCACAAGTTTGTCAGCGCAACGATGTAAACAATATACCGTTATATCATATGATAGACATGTTAAATTATACCTATGGTACATATCGTTGGATCGCACAACTCTAGGCTGAGCGTAGGTGAGCGGATGATGCCACCACCTTTGGGTTCAAGTTGTTTTTTTTTTTTTTTGTTCAATTCACCTTTCAAAAGAAAAGCAAGCCATGCGCCTATTTTGCACCGTTTCTCCAATTTTTGGGGTTGGAGAGGGAGCAGTTCATCATCTCGCTGCTGCACATAATGAAAGCACTTGTACCACCAAAATATAACATTTGGAATGTGTCCTTTCATCTCAATTGAGAAATTAAAATCTTAACAACAAATTCACATCTTCGCAGAAATAAAATTAAATAAGTGAAAGAAGAAATAAAAGAAAACCGCAATACGGCTCGAGTTTTCAAGAGGTGGTGAGAGTGGCCTTTCATTTTTACATGCGACAGGTTTGGCATTAATTAAAAAGATAAAAAAAATGGAGCCCGTAATTGACCTTACAGCTAGTGACCATTAGCGAGTGCAACCCTTATTTTCTTTCACTCTGCATATAAGCGGTGTGAAGAAGACGGGAAAAGAATGCCTCACAGAAGGATCATTATGGCGCTGGTGCAATGGTCTTAAGAGACAATAAGACAGTGTCTCAGCTCCTCACACTTGAGTTATCTTGCTCGTTAGCTCGGTTCCCTCATTTGTGCCTCCGTTTCTGGCTTTCCAACTTCCCTGCGAATGATCAACTTCAGCATCCCATCACGATGACACATCCCAGTATTTTCTTTCATTCCCATTGCAAACATGTACAAATGTCAAACACATCTGCAAAATCGGATGTACGGGTGAAGGTAAAATATTCAATGAGGTTACTCAAACAACAAGCCAAGACACAAGCCATTACTGCTCTGCTTTAGTGATACACATGCTATAGTTAGTTGGGGGGGGCTACGAAAAAAAATTGGAACGCCGCCGTGCTACAAATTAAATACTGCATAATAGACATTGTTTTCAAATGACTGCACCAAGGCAAAGTCTAATTTTGCAAATGTAAATGCGCTTGCATTAACTTTGCTCGACTTAAGCGTCATTGTTGCGTATCAAGTGGGGTGGGGGAGGGAGGGGTGACGGCGGGCTTTTAGGACTCGAGGAAAGGAGGAAGGAGGACAGCTGTGCGCACAGTACAACAGTGATGATGTCAGGCAGGATCCTCATATCAACAAAATCATCACTTAAAAAAAAAAAAAAGAAGTTTCTTGAGTAACTCACATTGCATCGTTCAAGAGAGGAAGCCATTTTCAATACTTTTTCTTTTTTTTAATTCCAAATGTTTAAGCTGGGGAACACTGCTGTATTCCATAATTGGTATGGCGGAAAACAAACCAACAGAAAGGATGCAATATTATTCTGAAATTAATCAACAATTTCAAATACGTTGCTCTGCCTAAAATGCGACAAATCTTTATATGTAATATTTTATTTATTTTATAAATTAACTTGGGGGGGGGGGTGAAAGAAAATAGGCCCCGGCATGCCCGTGTCCCTCGTGATTAGAAAAATGGAAGGACAGATGGATGGATATTTTGTAACAGCCTTCTTATTGCCTGTATGACATTTCTTCAGTTTACGTATACGAGTACACACAGACACGTTCTGAAATGGCGGCTGGTGTATTTACCTTGTTGTTCATGAAGGCTTTTAGACACTGGATAACCTTATGTTGGTTCTTTTTGTCGATCCTCTCCTGCCTACGGAAATGGAACGAACAAAATTCATGAGGTAGCATTTATCCTGCTCAGGGTCACAGAGAAGCTGGAGCCTATTTCAGCTGACTTGGGACAAAAGCAGAACAGGTAAAGCCCGTGTTCAGAGCTATTCAATCCCAGACAGCGAGATGCGGAGAACGATTTAGCCAAGATTTGAAATGACCTGGTTAACACTATTCGGGGTTCTTACAGATTTGAGATTTTAAAATGTCATAACTTTTTTCCAACCCAAATTTTCAGACTTCTGGGTAAAAAAAAAAATATATTTTTTTTTTTTGTTTTTATTTTCTCAACAATTTGTGACATTTGAGTGAGTGTAACATTCTCATTCTTCATTTGGCATCATGTCGCCAAATAATTTCGACAATATTACAGCTAGGTAAGATTTAGTTTCTATTTTCCACGCTTTTTCGGACGTGACAAGTTCTTAAATAAAATTCCGTACTTTTCCACACTTGCATAGGAACCCTGAGTAAGTGAAAAATGCCAGTCATTGACACATGAATTTGTAATTAAACACTTACTGTTTCTTGGCCAGCAATCTCTCCAAAATGTCAAGTAACAGTCCAAGGCCCTCGTGACCAAAGTTCTGTACCCAGCTGGGAAAAGAGCAAACGTGGGCGATCACGACAGAGTGATGAGAGACAGTTAAATGAGGCGGTATGTTGAATTGTAATCAAAACAATTGGGAATAGGAGCAAGCCTAATGATCTTTTTTGAACGGTACCTGACAGGATTGCTCGTGAGTGAGACACGCAGTGAGTCCAGGCAAGCAAACAGGCGTTCTTCCATCACCCCTGACTTCAGTTCTCCCAGGAATTCCTGAGGAGATATCTGAGAGCTGCTTTTCAGGCTACCCTGGAGGTAGGAAAAAAGAAAAAGACTTGACATGGAAATGTGGAAAGAAAGAGAAACAGACTCTGACAAACTGTGGAACATACTATGTGAATGGAAGCCTTCGGGCATACCATGTGAAAAGAGTATGGCTCGAAACCACGCTGCAGGTTTCACCGCGTTGATCCTAACTTGCACGTACAAACACCTTTGCTTACAGTGAACGTAACTTCAAGCAGAAGTCAAGTCAACAATGTGTTGCGTCCCCACGAGTCCAAGCAAAGAATGCTGATTAATATTGTGTTTGTGAAACTGGAATGAAGCAGAAAAATCCACCCGTTTCCATCCCCCTCAGAGGGCTTCAGTTTTGTCCGCTACCGCCACCGGCGATTGATGTCACAGTGCGCACGACCTCAGCTTGCAAACGTCACGTGACCAAACCCAGAAAACAGTTGCCGCCCCCACAAATATCAGCGTATTTAAGACACTGGAGGTATTGGTTGGGTGGAGATCTAAAGACAATCACGCAGTAACACAAGAAATGTATCTGGTTTATCTATTTTTGTGCTCTGTGACTATGAAAACATATACAGTATTTAGACATATTATAAGTCATATTTTCACAGATTTGAAAGGATTTGGAAAGGAAACTTTCCATTTTAGGGGGATTTTGGCAGCCAGTTTGAAAAATTGCTTTGAGACAATATCAGATGCAATCTGAAATCAAAGAACTTTCAAAAACATTTTTTAAGTAGCCAAAATGGCAATAGAATCAATTTGTTAGAAATGAGATTAAATGTCCAAAAGGAAGATTTCATTTGGCCATCCCTACCATCAGGTACCAAAGTATTAACACATAAAACTGAAAAACTAACAGTGCGCCTTCAAATGTTTAAAAGCAGTACTCATTTATATGGTCGGCAGAACAATAGTATCATGATAAAATATAAAACATACCGCTTTTGATGCAGTACAAACATACTGGATGACCATTTCTCTCTTTGTATTCAAGTCCTTGTCTCTCAAGGGAGTCTTTTTGTCTTCATTCAAGTTCATGTCCTCCTAATATAAAATGTACAAAGTTGGAATTACACTCCACTTCTGTATTTTTCTGTCCTATTGCTGTCAAACACAAGGCAATGTGACATTCCAACGTATGAGAAGAACTTAAAACTTGGAAAACAATTGTGGGCTCAACATCAAGAGGATGCGTGACTTTTATCGTATTTATCAGTCGAATATTCAAAAACTAAAACAGATTAACATGCCGTGTATGGCTACAGTACACTTGCTTTGTTATGGTGTTTTCGAAGCCGATTCATTAATGCGTTTGAATGTTACCCAGTGTGAAAAATTCCAGTCTTTTTTTTTATTTTTTATTTATGTCTTCAATGCGCGGCATATTAGACAGTAAATCCAAAAACATGCATCTTGGGTGAATTGAAGAATTTCATTTGTGGATGGATGGACTCTGGTCTACTTTAAATGTAAAGACATGCTGATGCCAAGAGTCATTAGCTCAGTAAAAGTTAGCTGTTCATTAAAACAATTAAGAAAGAGTGTGGGCAGAAGGGTGATATGAAGAACGGATGATATTACTTGCATACCATCATCTTTTCAAACAATGCCAATATTTCCTTTTCTGAAGTGATCTTCGATGAAAGTTCCTCAAATTGGGAGTTGGATGACGAAAATACAGACCAATCGCTGGTACTGTATTTAGAATGAGGTATGGCCAGCCGCTCCTTTTTGCTACCCGGGATCCGAATGCTTGCAAATCTGTCCAGCTAGAAAAGGATAGAAAGACAACAATCAAAATTAAGTAAAAAGACGCAACATGTTAAGGTGGGTGTTAGTTTATATAGCAGGTAATCTTTCTTAGAGTGGAGTCATCATTGCATTCTAGGTTGGGAAAATAATATTGTGAGAAAAGCATAAATGTGGTTAGAAAGGCTGAAAGGAATATTGACAAATATGTTTACTGAAGGGGAAAGGCTTCACTTTGTTCATAAATGTGATGTTTGGGAATCAACCATGGTCAGAATTTCAAATAATAAAATTGTTTTAGTCATGTTAGTCGATAGTCTGCAGCCAAGAAGATGGAAGTACAGTTTCCATTTTTCACATCTTACCATGTCATCAGTGAGATTTCTAAATGGTAGGTGCTATGAATAGGGGACACACAAAAACAGTATCAAGCCTCATGAAGCATCTCTGCCATGCACACAAGCCACGACTGGAATGTATAAAACTAGTCTATGATCCTTTATAGAAAGCAATCAGGTAACTTAGATGGTTGTGAACACGGCAAAGTAAATAAAAGCTTGGTAAGAACAACATCAGACCCTCTCGTGTGATACCGTTTACAGTTTTGACTGGGCTATGTCGTTCGAACATACTGCAAAGTGATTTGAATATATTGATTTGATCGAACATATTGGTGAAACAGGCTACATGCCAAAAACATTACATTTTTTTCCCATAATCCCACGGAGTAATGACTTGTGCGTGTGCAATTGTGCACTATGGCCACTTCACAGGTGGAGCTCAACAAGAGAGGAAATTACATGAGGAAACATTGTTGATAGAAAATGCTGCTAAAATTGACTGTAGTTTTCTGCATCATAGATTGTCAGTGTCAGAAATCAAAAAAATGTGTATATCCATCATTTTGCACGAGCAGATACCATATGGTGCCCGATTGCGCATGTCAATACCCTGTGCAATTCTGGAGAAAAATGCTATTTTTTTTTAGCATTTGACCTACGTTCTACCAATATGTTCAAACGACTTTATCAAGATGTTCGAACCACTTGGCAATGCGTTTAAACGGCTTCATCAGTACATTCAAACCACTTTGCAGTACGTTTGCACAAAATAGCGCAGTCAAAACATTGGCAGTTTCACGTTTCAGTCCTAAACGATACCAAATAAACAATAATGAGAATCTGAAATGATTCGCTAGTGACAGCCATAAAATCAGTCCATTAAAAGTTGTGAATTTTGTTCACAAAGCATTACAGTACTAGTTTCTTACCCGAGTGCCATAACCACAACTAGGAAGCACGCAGTCCTAATCTTGACACAAATCAAACAACTTTTTCCTTCAAAAAGCCAAATACCGGTATATATAAAATATAGATGGATAAGTGCCCATTGAATTCAGACATATCCTCACACCTGTCATTTATCTTTTTTCATTGTTTCTTTTATAGAACAGTCTTTGTCACAAATAAGAGGACAACAAAAGCAGCACGGTGGAGAGAAATGTCCCCGTTAAGTGAAGTGAAACTTACAAACTTGGGCTTGCGGTCTCCGTCTTCGGAGCATGGCGTCCCAAGGTGGGAGGCGGAAGGCTTCTTCTTATGAGATTTACCGTCCCGTCCCGCTGTGGCTTCGAACCGCTGACCGTAGGTGTCCATGTCGTTCACTTAACTTGTGCACATCTAAATCCTGGGTATACAGTTACCACACATCCTTGTCAAACGCTTGTTGAAACAAGAGGCTGTGGGGTTTTTTTATTTATTTTTTTCAAAAAAGTTGCCTTTGTCGAAGAGGCGTATACAGGGGTTGCGGTCCATTGCATACAGTCACATAATTCTGAACCAGATCCATTGAGAAAGCAAGCGGTATTATAACTCGTGCATAGTAACTGTCAGTGTGGCTGTCAACTAGCAAGTTGCCTCCAACCTCATTTACTGGTGGCTTTACATAGCTCTAATCCAATTTGTGGACTGTCAGCTGAACGTGTCAATTTTCTACTAACCTGGGGAAGGCGGTGGACATGTAGTCGCTCTGTAGATATGGTTTATGTCGACTGATTATTTCCAAGTAGGGAAACTCTTGTAACGATTAGCTGAAATGCTGCCGACACAGAAATTCATTCCAGCGTTTTCGACAGACCCGCGCTAAGACGTGCAAAAAAATATCCTGTTTGAGTCCACCAATAGCGTTCACCGAAGAGTGCAGGCGATATTAACTCCTCCCGTTTTCCGTTAAGCATGCATTCAATTGGTTAGGAATGCTGCCAATCAACTAACATTCAATGGAATTGCTTGTTTTATAAAACATCAGCGTGTGTACGTGGGCGTTTTGTCTTTTTGTAACATTTATTTGCAAGGTAAAAGCTCAAAATATTTAAAATGTATTTATTCCATTTTGGTATGGGGCTGTAACAAATTTAAAGAAGCCATCCATCACCGGTGTGATAGTGCATGTTTTTCTGGAAGTGTGTCATGAAAATGGTATTTTAAGGCAGTCCGTAATAGGCCTCCCTTGGTAACTCAATCGTTGGTGACAATATGTAGCTGCACCAATCAGGAGACTGAAAAATGACGAAAAAACAGCCATTTCTGGTGTTTATGTGTGTCCGAGGCCAGCAGTTGGGATTGTGAAGGCCTTGGGCTGATTACATTTACATCACAATACATAGAAACTGAAATCTGATTGGACAAAAAAAAAGTATTTACTGTCCAGGTCTGGAAGCTGGGCAGCCAAGGCACAAGCTAAGAGATGATCATAATAAA